AGCCCCTTTCCCCACCACTTGAAATACCACACAGGGGAGCCACAAGACAGAATCCTTTCCTAAGCCATCTCAGGCAACTTCCACTCTCAGAACTGCAAATCCAGGTTACAAGTCCCCTTTTCACAGCGTGATACAGACTTTCCTTTGCTCAGATCTGTGAAAACGTTTGTGGCTCCTATTGGCTGGCGTGGAGACCATGCAGAAGAAGCAACTTACATCCACATCCAGTGTCTCTTCAGACCGAACTCCCCGACCCTTAGCCCATAATATGGCCCTCTCCCCACACACGCATAGAGAAAGAAAGCTGTCATTTGGGTATTTCAGACTAAGAATAATGATAGGGTCCTGAAAAATTCAGACAACTAAACCAAACCTGAAGTTGCCATTCAGCTTGGCAAGAAAATTGCTTGAGTTATTCCTTTCTGCAGTCTCCTTCAAGATTCGAATGTCATCTCTGCTACAAGTTCTGTCTTTCACTGGTGGGCCTTGGAGTTAAAATGCATTCAGCCGTGAAGCTGTTCCCAAAGCATCTATGAGTGGGGACTTCCAAATAATTAGAACCAACAGCAATTTGAAAAGCTTCACAACTGCCCTGTGGAATGGTTTATTTGGCTAATGTTGTTATACCCATTCCAGTGGTGGTGTTTTCATTTCAGGCTACGGGCAGGCTTTATAAGAATGTGAAAATCAATACGAAAGGTTTGTCAGGGCGACATGTTTGTTAATGTTTTATTGATTATGCTATTGGTTGTAAATTTTCTAACTTAATAAAGCTCAAGATTTTTGCAGTAAAAGACAGAGGTTATTTAATTAACTGGCAACTTAATGCAAACTACTAACATGATACATTGTGAGTGCTTCAAAGTGACACCCGATTCATCACTCTCCAAGTGGGCCTGATATTACACAAGAATATTATGCCTCTTAAAGAATTATGGAGTAGGAAACAGCAACCCACTCCAGTATTCTTGCTTGGAAAATTCCACAGACAGAGGAGCCTAGCAGGCTACAGTCCATGGGGTCGCAAAAAGTTGGACATGACCGAGTGACTCACTTACACTTTTTCTTTAAAGAATTAAGGGGGGGAAGTCTGATACAACAAAGAAAGGCATCAATTACATAACACTCTACAGCAACTATAATTTTTTTAAAAAGAAGAAAAGGAGAGGCATCTACACTTTTAATACTAAAGAATTAATACTTTTAATACTAAAAGAATCTGACAATGTGCACTTAATATTAAAAGAAAAGTTGAATAACCACATAGTTGCTTTTTTTTATAAAGGGAAATTAGGGGCTCCCGGGTGGCTAAGTGGTAAAGAATTGGCCTGCCAATGAAGAAGACACGGATTCGATCCCTGATCCGGGAAGATCCCACATGACACAGACCAACTAAGCCCCTGTGACCTGTGCTCTGGAGCCTGGGAGCCGCAACTGCTGAAGCCCAGGCGCCCTAGAACCCGTCCTCTGCAACGAGAGAAGCCAGAACATTGCAAACTAGACAGCAGGCCCGCTCCCCACAACTAGAGAAAAGCCCGCACAGCAACAAAGACCCAGTACAGCCAAAAATAAATAAATAAACACATTTTTTAAAAAAAGACTTTAGGATAAGGCTCCTAAAAAGGTAAGCCAAGTGCCCATAATTCGGGTAGCATTTGTAATACAATTCATGATAATCCACTTTCTGTCTCCTAAGTGAAAATACTCGACTTAATTCAATGACCTTGTGATATTACAATTATTTATTAACATATCTAATGCTAATGAAACCACATAAATCCAGTCCTTTAATGGTTTATGTTACTCTTTCCCAGACCTGTTTGGTCTATTCTATGCATACTGTATATTCACTTTAAAAAGGCCTGTATGGAAAATACTTTATGTTCCTCATTAACATGAGTTCTGATACTCTCCTGATGTAGGCTGCTGAAGCACAAAATTGTCAGACTTAAAGCATTTTCCAGTGAACTATTAGTAAAATAAGTCTAAACTGTTAGTTGCTCAGTCATGTCTGACTGTATGTGACCCCATGGGTTGTAGTCTGCCAGACATGGGATTCTCCAGGCAAGAATACTAGAGGGGATTGCCATGCCCTCCTCCAGGGGATCTTCCCAACCCAGGGATTGAACCCAAGTCTTCTGTATTGGCAGGTGGACTCTCTACCGTCTGAGCTACCAGGGAAGCCCAAAACAAGTCAGTCTCTCTTCAAATACAAGTCCTTTAGGATGTCAAATATAGGATGTTGGGCTTGGCTTTCCTTGTTTATCCCCCCTACTGTTAAGCCCTGACACACAGTATTATATCTTTTGTAGCCTTCCTAGAATTACATTGTGATGTTCAATCTGGAAAGGAGGTGGTTCCTATTTTGTGATGATGCAACTCAGCCCTCTGACGGGCCAAGACGTGACACTGCAATTAAAGCTACAGAACGCCCTGTGGGGATGCCAGACATCTATTTCTACACAAATAACTAAACTGGCATTAATTTTTTAAAAACTTCTTTCTTCCAGAAATTATTTAAAAACTGTCTGTAGTCACAAAAGCCTCTTGAATCACCAGCTCTTCCAAGAAATTGTAAAGATTTTCATGGAAACCACTTCAATAAAGCATTTATTTCCTCAGAAGAATGGAAGAAGGGAAAGAATTACCATCTTGAGCACTCACAGCCCCAATTACCATCTGCGGGCCTCCTCTCTACCTGCCAGGTTAATCACCAGCCTGTTTCATCACCACGCCACATAAAAAACTTCCTTCTCTGCTAATTATGCTCTCTCCCTTTCTCGTAATTTTTTTTCCCTGAATTATTTTTAACACGTCTTTTCAAACCTTTTCAAACTTTCTAATGGAGTTCTTGTGAATGTTTCAAAATTCTCTTCTGTTTGAAATTTCACACAAGCTCTTCCAAATTCTCAACAGTAATTCTCAATTAATAAAAATTTCACTGAGGCATGAGTTCCTTTCTTTTCCACTAATTTAAAAGTCTCCCACAGTGGGTTCCTAAAATATTTGGAAAATAATTTTTAAATGAGAACAATTCTTTAAATATGTAGCTATGAAACCAGATTCTCTTCGGACTTGACCTGGTCTTGGTTGTGAGTTAATACTTCCTGGAAAAGGCTCTTTCTTTTCTTTTTATGCTCTTAAAAATATTTTGTGCCTTTTTATATAGTTTTAGAACATTAAAATTCTAAAACATTATCTTTTTGCAATCCACAGAGGTGAGGTGAAACTATATAAACTTTGAAAGAACAACATTGGGAACAGGAGTATGGATATCCTTTCCTTGGGTCAAAAAGGAGATGTGCTATCCTGGGGATGATGACAAAGTAAAAGTCATTGTCAGGGTCCTAGTTTTACACCGCCTGATGAGTTCAAGGCACCCAGGAAACATGAATAAATGAATGAGGATGTACATGGAACCAACATTGAAAGAGTCACAAGCCAAGATGATTGTTCATCTAAATCCATCCATTTGAGGCCGTAGGAAAAGCGAAGTGCTATAGAAAAAGATGCATAGGAAGATTTTAATTTTTAGATACTAAGAAATTGCCCTCCAAGGTGACAATACAACCAATACAAGTTGCACGGTGTTTATTCTCATTTCTCTTTAAATTCACCACCAAATTATGAATGTGTGATGCTCGTTTTGACCTCAAGTTCCCTGGTTAGGAATGATTGGAGCATATTTCACATGCTTACTGATGTTCAGTCGCTAAGTTGTGTCTGACTCTTTGTGACTCCATGGACTATAGCTCCCTAGGCTCCTCTGTCCATGGGATTTCCAAGGCAAGAATACTGGAGTGAGTTACCATTTCCTTCTCCATGTATGCTTACTAGCTGTGTTTATTTCCTCTTTTGAGAACTGACATATATCTTACCCACTTTTCTACACTCAAGGAAACTGAGGTTTTGTTAACCTGAGAAAATGTCAATTTCCAGCCTTGATAGAATTATAACCTCTTTCAGACTTTGAGAAATACGAAGGGCCAAACTGTGATCACTGAAGGAATATACCGATGAGGTAAGCTCTACAATATAAATGGATTTGTACATATTAACTAACACACTCACATAGTCCAGAAACAATCTTTGCCTATTCCATACATGCAAAAAACGGTCCTCCAGTCTACATGTTGTGTCCCATAACACAGAGGTTTTAATTTTGATGTTGTTAAATTTGTGGATGTTGACCTTTGTAGTTGGGATGTTGATCTGTGCCTTTTTCTGGAGGCCTCCCTCACCCACAAAATAAGAGCAAACTCTTATATTTCTATTTAATATGAATCATAATTTTTTATAATTTAACCTGCATTTATTATTTTCTTAAGTTGTTTGTTTAGTTAGTTAGTTATTTTTGGCAGCGCTGCACAGCATAAAGGATCTTAATTCCCCAACCAGGGATCAAATCCATACCCTCTGCATCAGAGACTTAACCTCTGAACCATCAGGGAAGTCCTCTTCAAATTGTAATTTAAAACAATTATGCCGAATGTATTTTTGTGAATGGTATGAGGTAAGGAGATGACGTCACTTGTCATTAAGTGAAGAGCCAGTATTCTTGATGCCATTTCTTTAAACATTTAAGGAAAAGCATAACTCTTGGAGGGCACTTGGAGTCACGGAATGTCAGAGCTGAAAGGAACTGAAAGAATATCCTATTTAACTGCCAATGTTAGGGGGAAGGGGCTTGGGGTCGAGAAAGCCTCAATGACCCATACAAGGCCACCCAATTGGAAGCAGCAGGCTCATACCCAGACTAAAATAGAAGGTTGAGGCTGCCCTCCAGGCATACTTCCCATGTTGCCTGCAGGAAACCAAGTGTCCTCATTGCACAGGACACCTTGAGGTATGAAGAAGCAGCAAGTTAATCTGAATGTGAAGCTATTTTGGGCAGAAGAGAGGGGCAAGAAGAAGTCAGGAGACTGTGTGGAAATAAGCTTCCAATAGCTGTAAGGATTCGGGGTTTCAGAATTAGTCTATGTGTTTAGACCCTGTGCCATTCACAAAATAACAGAAACTCTAATAAGTACTGGCTTTCTAAAAAAATGAGGCACCACAACTAAGAGACTGCAGGCCGCAACTAAGACCTGGCACAGCCAAATAAATAAAATTTTAAAAATTAAAAAAAATAAAGGGCAAGGGGAGTTTGTAGTTCTCACACAGGAAGTCTGAAGACAGGCTGTCCAATGCTGGTATAGGAGTTCAATCATGCTCTTTCTAGTGTCTCCTTTGTCATTTCCAGGGTTTGGCCTCACAGTCACAACATGGTTGCTGTGACTCCAGCCATCACATTTGGGTTTAAGAGAGAAAGAGTAAGGGAATGGTGATGCCAATTGCATCAGTTTCTCTTGTAAAGCTTTCCTAGAAAGCTCCCAATAGATGGACTTGGACTTAGCTACAAACTCAAACTGTTTCATGTTTCATCTCTAGGCAGAAGGGGAGTTAGAGTACAGATGTTTCATGTCTGCAGTCACTATGGCAGCAGCAGTGAGTGGAGGCTGGAGCTAGGTGGCCTCTGTGTCTCTCACATACTCACGACACGTGGACTTGGAATATAAATAAGTCCGGGGCTCATGGTCTCTTCCAGAAGTCACTGTACCACCATTATTCCATGGTCTGAAACCACATTGGAAAAGAAGAGACCCCTGAGAGCCCTGCTGTGCCTTCTCACAGGTGAGAGAGAAAAATAAAAAATGTCCCTCCACTCCTAGATTTTCCATATTTAATCATGCCCAAGGCCCCAGAGCCTGCTCTGGCCCTATAGTGGATGGAAAGGTAATTTAATCCTCTACTATAAAATGTGGCAGCGCTTGCCAGAGAACTTGCTAGAAGCTGCCAAGCCATGAAAGCTGAAGAGCAGGTGCTCCAGACTTCCGGAATACGTGAGAATTAGGGCTTCGTCCTCACGCCCAGCTCTTCCGCAAAAGCAGCTGCTCCTGGGTATGGTTTTGAACTCACAAATTTGGCTGTCTGATCGTCACGTGTAGCACCTACAGGCAGAAATAATCCACATCAAGACTAATTATTAATAATAACAAGGAGATATTCAATGCAGATTTTGTGCTGGGCACTTTGTTTCCCATTTTGTATGCATTAAGTACTTTTTTTTTCCTTTATAAGCATTCTAGAGGGAAGTACCATTTTAACCTTCATTTTAAAAATGAGAAAACTGAAGCCTAGAGAGGCAAAGTAACTGACTTTCATTGCAGATCTATGAAGTGGCAGAAACCATATATGCATCCAGGTTCTTCAAGTTCCAAGCTTTTGTGCTTCATCGCCATGGATACTGCCTCCTTGAGAATGCTTTATCATCCACTTGGAGCGTAAGATGCTCCAAGAGTCTGAGGGCCAGCAACATCCATCATCCAGCTGTGTATATTTACTAATATAAATTAAAAGTCCTTTTAAAATAAAAGTATAGAATGAGTACTTTTACTTAGCATTTTATGAAGCTAACGTGTGAGCATGCTAAGTCCCTTCAGTCATGTCTGACTCTTTGTGACCCCATGGACTGTAGCCCGTCAGGCTCCTCTGTCCATGGGATTCTCCAGGCAAGAATACTGAAGTGGGTTGCCATGCCATTCCTTTCTCCAGGGAATCTTCCCGACCCAGGGATCGAATCCGCGTTGGCAAGCAGATTCTTCACTGCCTGAGCCACCAGGGAAGCCCAGGGAGTAGATAAATTAACAGAGTTAGGCCGTCAGTCTTAGGCCATCAAGACTTTTCATGGACTTGATAAAAATCAACTTATGCCCTCAGTTGTGGAAGAGGAGAGAGAAGTTTAGAAAAGTGAAAGTGCTTGCCACATCCACACAGCTCTTCCGTGGTCTGATGAGGCCTGGAATTCAACTCTTGACTCCCAGCCCAGGGCACCCCACAAAACAGCTGAGCCCTTCCAGCCAGTCTCTTCCACTCCACATTTTCTCCTACCCCTTTTTGAAAGAATCATGATGCCAGATGCAGCCTCGAAGTTTCCTGGCTGCTTCTAGGACAGCAGGCTTCTCTTGAAGCCAAGAACCCTTTCCGGCAGGCCCCTCTGCCACGTGCTCTAAAACGTGCACTGTGAGTCACGATCTTTGAAGATTCTTTCCTTTCATCTCAGCTCAAAATAGTACCTGCCATATCATTAGCCTTGGAAACTTCAGAGTGAGGACCCAAAGGAATGGGTAAATTTATCACCTGGTGAAATGACCTACATTCTGCTTAATTGTTTTTGGCCTGACCATTACCCCAGGCATCAGAGTCAAAAGGAAGAAAAGAGATGGTTAGATCTCTGTGTACACAAATTCAAAACTCTGGTTGATCTCAAAAATTCATAGCTGTCTGGAAGAAATTTCAAGATAAAAGATTCTTAGCATAGAGTTAATTGTACGAAAGACCCACTTCTGTTGATGTTTCAGGAAGAAAGAGACTATCAAAATGATGACTTGTATATGTCTCAGAAGTAGATCATCCGATTTGGTTCAACTGCTCTTTTATTATGATGTGTTGGGTCAGGTTTTATTTTATTACAAAAAGACAAAGTTGGATGTCATATCTCGTTTTTTATATGAGCAAAAGACATCAATTTCTCTCTAATATACAAAATGCTTCATATCATGGGATGTAATTGAAGAAACAAAGGTTTTTATGAAAACTGAAAGGAAAATGTGGTCAAAAGACGTTTAAGATGTTTCTAAGGTCACCACCAAATGCATATTATCTTAGTATTTTTTAACACTTCAGTTGTAAATTCTCCTGATGAGTTTCAAAATGACATTCACTTCCTTCTGATTTGATCACTTAGTACATTTGGCAGCTGTTGAATTTCATTTCCTAACGTGTTTGTAATGGAGATGTGCATGGCAGGGCTTGTTTAATATAATTTGTTGCTTATGCACCAACATTCATAGTATTATCTGCCTAAATGTGCAAAGAGGGGACTGGGTGAATAATAGCTTGTTTGTTTGTTTTAAGTTTTAAATTAATGGGAGTTTTCTACATCTTATAAAATGTAATCAGTACTGAGAGTTTAGTCAGGGAGTTGTGTCTGACTCTTGAGACCCCATGGACTGTAGCCCACCAGGCTTCTCTGTCCATGGGATTTTTCAGGCAAGAAGACTGGAGTGGGTTGCCATTTCCTTCTCAGGAAATCTCGCCGACCCAGGGATCGAACCCGAGTCTCCAGCATTGCAGGCAGTTTCTTGATCAGCTGAGCTACTGGGGAAGAAACTGATAAGAGCTTACACATTTCAGCAAAACAACAGTACTTCTTTGAATCTCACCAAACAGCGCCCAGACCTCAAATTGCTCCAATTAAAGTAAGATAACAAAAATTCCAGTGCAATGAGTACACTTCCAAAGAAGCTATTTGATAAAGCCATTTCCCAATCCCATCACAGAGGCCACAGAAATACAACTCTGCTACCCGTGATTGACACACGCTGGCCTGGTCCTAAGAAATGAAATTTCACTCACTTCAGATTGCTCGCTGCTCAGCCACTAAGTCGTGTCCAACTCTTTGTGACCCCAAGAACTGCAGCACTCCAGGCTTCCCTGCTTCAGACTGCTGCTGCTGCTGCTAAGTCGCTTCAGTCGTGTCCGACTCCGTGCGACCCCATAGACGGCAGCCCAGCAGGCTCCGCCGTCCCTGGGATGCTCCAGGCAAGAACACTGGAGTGGCTTGCCATTGCCTTCTCCTGTTTCAGAGTAAACACATCCAAAAACTGAACTCCTCATGGTTCTCCCAAATTCGACTCTTCTCCCACAACCTCCCATCTCAGCGCTCGACACCACCATCCGCTCAGTCGTGGGATCCCTACAGCCGATCACCAACCCATCAGTTTTTATCTTCTAAATATCTCTTGAACTCATCCAAGTCACTTCATCTCTGCCCTATGGCCAGAGCCATGACACTTCAATGGACTTCAATGGACTCTGGGCATTTTTACCTTCATGGGCCCCTTCGGCATAAAAAGAAAAAATTAAAACTTCTGTTTTATGACTTTGTTGGTACAAACATAAACCAAGCTGGGTTCATTATTTTATGTTCATTATTATGATATTCATTTTTAAATTCTGATTGGAAGATAAACCAAACTTAAACATTTTCCCAGGCCAGTAAGATGTGCTCTGGGCCCTGGACACTGTGCCCGCTGTCAGTGGCTAAGATGAACCTGCTCATGGCTCTGACCCCTCACCTGAGCTAGACTGATTGCATGTTACCTGGCCTCTGCATAGCCGCTCCTGGCAATCCATTCTCCTACTGCAATCAGAGTATCTGAATACTCAAAGTGGCTTACGATCCTTCAAGACTTTGCATTATTTCAAAGACAAAATTGTGTTGAGAAAAAATTTGAATGAAAAAAGTCACCATTTTGACCCTTTAAAAATACACAACTTAGTAGTTTTCAGGACACAGTTGACCCTTGAACAACATGGGGGTTAATCCACGTATAATTTATATGCAGTCCTCCACATCTGAGGATTCAACCAAATGTGGACCGGGTAGTATTTACTATTGAAAAATAGCCACATATAAGTAGAACTGTGCAGTTTAAATCTGCATTGTTCATGGGTCAATTGTAATGAAAATCTTGTGAAACTATCACCACCATCCAATTCCAGAACACTGCCATCTCCCCAGAAAGAAGCTTTATATCTCTGAGTTTTTTCCCTTTCTTCACCCACCCCCTCCCCAATCCCCGTCCACCACTAAACTTTCTGTCCCTATGGATTTGCCTGCTCTAAACATGAAAGGAGTCATATAATCCTTGACCTTTAGTTCTGCCTTCTTTCACTGAGTATGTTTTCAATGTTGATCCATATTGTCCCATTTATCAGCACTTCATTCCTTTTTATGGCTGATGGCTGAGTAATATTCATTGCACTGTCTGAAACTATCTGCCCTAGCAAATAGAGACGAGCACATCTTACATCACATGGTAGTTTTTGCAAGATGAGTCTTAAAATAGTGTGGCCAACAGGCCCAAACTCAATGTCTACCTACAGCGTGATCCATAGGTCTGGGCTGGTCCATGAACTAACAGCCACTCAGTTGCAGTAAGTATGGACAATGACAAGTACTTAGAAACGTTTATGTGCAATTTGATATCACCACAGCATCCAAGTGCCTGATTTTGTATTTTACAAAAGTATCCATCTAATCTATTGAAAATAAAAAAGCACTAGCCCTTTACCACAAACAGTAAGAGAAACCCTAGTTGAGTTCTTAGCAGGATCAAATGTAGAGGTGGCTCACTGTCTACAGAACAAAATGTGAACCTGAGGGCTGGCCATATCCCATGACTTTCTAGAAACCCTGTAAAAGCCAAGGTAATGATTTCTGATGTGTGGGAATTAAAAGCCCTCATATATGTTACAATAGGAAAAAAAAAATCTGTGTATGGAATAAAGGACATTACCCTGAAGTGGTGCAGAATGGTGCAGTTTCAAAACCAATTTATCTCCCGTCTCTGCAGCACACAAATGTAGCTGCTTTGCAAGGAAAACCTCATTCACTGGAATAAAAAGGCAGCTGAGCCAGAGAAGGGGATAATGGGGACAGCCTGTACTGAGTCAGAATACACCTCACTGACACTAAAGCTGATTGATGACCTGGGAGATTTCTGAGTCCAGAGGAGGAGAACAAAATGGAAACGAGATAGACAAATGGTACTGGGATGTATGAGAAGCTGTAGGTATGATACAGATGTGTGTTCTCTATGCAAGAGGAGATTGGGGTCTTTCAAGGCTGACAGTTGTTGTCAATGCAGTTGACATAAATTTTGCTCATGTTAATGGAATTTACCAGTGTGATTTACCAAAGCCATTTACAGCTGTTGAGTTAGAATGAAATAGAAAGCAACTGGAGGAGGAAGAACCCAAGTGGTTTTGCACTTGCATGTGTGAATGAAGGCATATTTTAAAACTGCTCTCTACATCGAGCTTTTCCCCTAGTGGGGCAATTCTTATTTCTCTTTAAAGTGATTTTTCAGATCTTACAAGACCA